TTTGACCAGGAAGATACATGATTGATTAGATTTTGGTAGTCATCCATATCTTGAGAGCTAGAGATCTTTCCTAGTATTGTTGTGTCATCTGCATACTTCAGTATGACACAGCTTTCTTTGTTGGAACGAAGATCATCTGTAATTAGGGTGAAGAGTGTTGTTGATATGGACCTTGAGTGTTTTGTGGTCTCCCTTCCTCCCTTGTTCGGATTCTGGTCCCGCTATGCTCCCGAGCGTTTTTTCATGTCCTGTTCCATCTATTGGCACGACAGCAGCTTCTATGCTATCATGTATATCGTCGGTGAGGGGCTTGTCTTTCCTCCAGAGTCAGCCCTTAAAATCATTTATTGCATGCGCTATGTGTGTCGAGTTGAGGCTAATGCCAATGATCCTGCCATAAACCACGCTGGGGAAGCAGTAAAATATGTGTGACAGGAATATACAATTCCTGGAATTTTTAAATTATAGAATTCAGTGTGGAAAATAGAAAACGATTGTCACAAAAAATTTTTGTTATTTTTCTTTTACAATAGCAAATGTAAGTTTCTTCCATTGTTTCTGAACGATTTATGAAAATGAAACACAGAGAAAATTAATAGAAGTTCGCTGCTTCAGTTGCAAAAGCCTCGATGATGACAATGAGGTTCTCTCTAATGCTGGTTTAGCCTACGCCACCTTTTGCTACGTGTTACCGATCTTGCTGGTGGCCACCCTCTACGCTATCATGCTGCACCACGTTTTGCGATACCACCCGACCAACATCCATGTGCCAGGAGTAGTCACGAGGGCGGAGGATTCCTTCGCCTGTTGCAGCTGCCTCGGCCTTAAGCCCATGGAACGTCATCTTCTCAAGGTTAGTATCATTGGTGAATTTTTACGGGCTCCACTGTTTTTTTACTCCAAAAATAGAAAATAACACTTTTTAAGGTAGTTGGGAGGGGTGGAGGACGAATTGATGGAATAGTTAGACTCGTCCGAATCCAGATTTTTTGAGCTGATGGAAAACTAACTAATCAATTTACTATGCTAACTTTTTCCAGAGCATGGGAACATGGGAACAATTATAATCAATTATCAATAGGAACAATTATCAATGTGCAATTAAAGAATAGAATTATCAAATATTTCAAAATTGTGAAGATTCTCCCTGATGCGTTGATTAAGAGGATAATTTTTAGGAAAGCTGCATTCTTTCGATAGGAAATACAAGTATTTTAAGTTTTGGCATTGCAACATAATTTTTTTTTGTCTTATAGAACATGTGGTTCAAGAAATCATGAAATTCTTCTTAATAGGATGTTAACCGCAAGGATTAATATTTCACGTCGACATATAACTTCTTCCTCGTGCCTGTCCCCTCCCCAAAGAATCCAAACTCCTGGTGGCTGCTTCTGAAGGAAAAGCCATTACATATAGCATGTAGGCGATTTCATGGAATACTGGAGAACGTTAGCCGTTTAACACCGGAGAAACGACTCCATGTCCACCAGCATCGCACGAGCTAGAGTCATTGTTGAGTCGATGTCTAGCTATGCTGTAGCTGCCGCTGGGTTAGGTTGGAGGGCAAGTTTACAGCCAGAACGCGACGAGGACAGGAACGCCGACTCTTCCTTGTTGGACACAGCGTGAAGAAAAGCTCCCGAAAAATATATGCAACTGTTTTACTCTAAATGTTTTTTAACATACATTCCTCAGCTTGAGATAATGCTTGTATTAGACGAGTATACTCTCATGAGACCTTTATCCCCAGATCAACATAGTGATGGTGTGTGTGCTGATTTTCGTGTGGACTCCAGACACAATGGTTTCAATTTTCTCCGTGTTGCATCCTGATTTACCCCCGGTCGTGTGAGTTCATTCGACTTTCGTAACTTTTTATATTTCATTTAAATGTTTCTGCCTCACTGATTCCAGGGATCTGACTCTGGGTTAGTGGCAAGTTGGTAATACAACTGGCGAAACGCACGAACAGGAGTAGGATCTTTTGGAATCGTGTAGCATTTGAGAGAAAGAAGTTCCAAATATTACTCTTTGCAAAAATAAAAATGGTGGTTGGGTATGAGATAATCACGTGTTATTGCTAATGGGAAAACCATGAAGTCAATATTTTGAGGAAAAAAAAATTCAGATGTATTGAAATAATAGGCTGTACAAAAGTTCTATTAGCCGGACATGGTCTTTCAGAAATTGCACGGAATAAGGTGTCGAAACCAATGCAATACAAAAATACTCCAATTTCAAGTGGAGTCATCGCTTTAATTTAGCAATAGAGGAATAAATACCAGAGGAGTCGTGAAAATAAGTCCCTGTAAATGGCACTTCATCGTGTAAAACCATTATTAGTCCATCTGGGAAAAAAAGGACTGGGAAGGGGTACTCTTTCCTGATGCGATGAAAATTACCTGCAGAAGTGTTTCTGGAGTAATCAACCATTCATACTTAAATTGAAAAAAACTTACCATTACAGGCACTTGATCCTGACCGCGTTTGCCAAGTCAAAATGCATTTGGAACCCCTTGATCTACTTCATGATGAACGCCCAGCTCCGCCGTGGGATGGTATCCATGATGTGGAAGACTTTCTGTCAGTTCCAGGATTCCACTGAGTCTTCCTCACCTGGAGAGCCCAAGCATAAAGGTATTCAACGCGACCCAATGGGAAGTGAGTTCTTTACGTGCTTTTAGTGCTGAAGGTGTAAGTCAGCGGTTGGCTACGTTATCGTCGCAATGGTGCTCTTCCATTGCACATGTGCTTGGTGGCCCGTNTGGTAGTCATCCATATCTTGAGGGCTAGAGATCTTTCCTAGTATTGTTGTGTCATCTGCATACTTCAGTATGACACAGCTTTCTTTGTTGGAACGAAGATCATCTGTAATTAGGGTGAAGAGTGTTGGTGACAGTACAGCACCTTGGATGACACCAGTCCGACAAGGCTTAGGTAGAGAAGATTTTTTCCCTGTTGAGACATACTGAATAACATCATTCAGGTAGTCACATAGCATGGTCAAGAGCCAATGAGGAGCATCATAGTTGGTCAACTTGTCTATTATGTCTTGGCGTTTGATTGTGTTGAAGGCACTGCTATAGTCCAGGAATAAGCATCTCACCATTGTGGGCTTCCGCTCATCTAAGGTGACTCGTACTTCATTTACGAGGGCCAAGACAGCATCTTCAGTGCTAGAGTTTTTCTTGTATGCAAACTGGCAGGGATCTTTTCCTGTTGGGCTGTGGGTTTGCAGACAGTCAAGGAGATGATATTCTAGGCATTTCATCAAAGGAGATTCATCAAAAATTGTCACCATGTTTATCCCTTGCTCTAATACTGTACAAAAGACCATCTTGTTCTCGCACGGGAATGGGGAGGATCTCGGCCGCGTAGCTCATTTTTTGCTCAAACTGAGCGATAAATTCGATTGCAATGTCTTCAGCTACGACTACTCTGGGTTAGGCAGAAGCACCGGGAAGCCGTCAGAAGACGACCTTTACGCAGACATCAAAGCTGCATTGGAAGTTTTGCGGACAAAGTACGGAGTCCCAGAGGAAAGAGTCGTTCTATACGGTAAAAGCCTAGGAACAGCACCAACTGCTCAACTGGCTTCCAAGCTGAAGAAATTGTCAGGCGTTATCCTCCACTCACCCTTATCATCTGGATTGGGGATGGTTCTCTCTGGCACCTGGTCCATGGGTCCTTTCCCCGTAGCGGAGTTGGTGCCCCTCATCGACTCGCCTGTGCTCGTCATTCATGGAACTCAGGATGAAATCATTCCGCTATCCCATGGGAAGACCGTGCATGAGAGGTGTCTGAAACCAGTGAGGCCACTCTGGGTCGAAGGGGCAGGACATCTCAACATACATGATTACTCTGAGTACTGGGAACGAGTGGAACGCTTCCTTGCGGGAGAGCTCTCTCGTGAATGGAAATGAAGCTTCTCGCTGATATTGAAATAAAGGTGCTGAATGTACAGCGCTAATGAAACTTGGTTCAATCCGTTCTGGAAGCATGTGAAGGTAAAAAATTCGTGAACTGTTTTACACAACCACAGGAGATCTCTTCCACTAACTGGTATAAGCAGCCATCTGTGTTACAGACCAGACGATTTGAAAATAGAGGAAGGCCCTGTTTTGTAATGGATAACGTGTCCTCCTTAGGATCAGAAATTTCCAGTCATGAGTATTGGTTGGATCTGAAAATTGTTTCCCCTACCGTTTTTGCTTAATTGAAACATTGACACAATTAAAAATTGAAATTAAGAGCCCTTTTACTCGATAGAGGTTTGCAAGGGGGATCTCATACCATCATCGACACTGTAAAGAATATTGGTTCTCCCTGGAACTGTTTCTTATCGGTTCTACTTCGTACGGTGAAACTACAGTACGAGCTATATTGGTATCATCGAATAGTTCCATAAAAAGCCACCTATTAAGTTTACGAGTAGCATCTTTGCAGAAGGTGTCATGTAAAACCCTTCCGAGACTAACACAGTTGCACACAGTTCTGTCACTCATTTGCTCTCTGCAGCTCTTATGCAATGTTGCTGTAGGACACCTTCCCGTTACAAAGAGATTGCTCGAAACAATTGCCTTCATGCAATCCAAATATACCATGCGAGTAATTTTATGCCCAAGCAACATGTTTATATTAATGTTATATCACATTTATGGAAATTGTTCGAAGATGTACCCCTAGCTACTAAGGAACCTCCCGCACCATCGAGGAAAAGCAGACAGCAGATGGCGCATAGCCTCATTTAACGCCATTAGGAATACAGTATAAGTCAAATATCTAGAATTAAAAAAAATATTTGAATATTATAATACTTGCTAGCTTATCCCTAGAAATGTTATTAATGTTGGCTGTGACATGAAAATGATAAAGGACGAGTGATTACGCAGTTGGGAACCGTGAATCATAAGGAATGACGGATACATATATCACTTTCAACGTTTCCCCTTTATCCCAGATGTTTGACTCATACTGTATATGCTCACGTACTACATGGGGCTCAACTGCCTGCAATCCTCCGCCAGGCGCGTCATCATCATTCCAAGAAATTCCGGACGCATTTGACTCATTTCCCTTTCCTCCTTACTTCCCTTCCTGCAATGCCTCGCTACTCCTCAACGGAGCGCGTCCGAGTGCAGGGGTTGAGCCGTTGTGCCCCATGAATTGTGGCTTAGTGCGTGTTGTAGATGCTGCTGAAAGTGACTACATGGGTGTTTCCTATTCTAGACGGTACTTTTGACATTCCAGAAACTCAGGGAAATAACTAGTTCGCGAAATGTTCTGGTTTCCCTCCTCGCAAAGCAGAACTTTTTATGCTTGGAGTCCACGAGTGGCCGGCAAACGTAGCGGTTCCTGTCGACACTATCGTACCTAATGGGATTATACCCTGTTTCCGGGAGATAGTGATTGCGATAGGAAACGTACTGACAAGGAACACTACCCAAGTGATAATTTCAGATTTTCACCAAACTTTGGTCATTGAAAGGACTCTCAAAATGAAGTCAAACTGCACCAAAATTGCCAGCTGAGTAACAGGTTTAGGCTCATATCTGGCTGTCTTAATTTTCAGTGGGACAGGATTATTATAGGCACCGCCCTATTTTCATTGGCTGTAACTTTTCAAGGGAAAGTCATATTCAGGTGATACTTGACAGAGAGGTTCATGAGTCAAGGAGGTTTTTTTCCCATTGCTGCAATATTTCGCTGCATGCCGAAATTAAAAAATGGCAGTGCTACACGAGAACACCACATTACCCGCGTGTGACAGAGACAGTGATGTGATGGGGGTGACTGCACCGTGCGTGCACCGGATCAATTTCTTGGTGTTTGTGGAGGGGGGAGGGGGGGGGGAGAGCGGGGGTCCAAAGTGGTCCGAAGGGATCCAAGCGTCCTCCTGTTAGGAGACTCCAGTTTCGCCCATGGCGTAATGGCTGCAGGCAGTGAAAACATGTCTTCAATATTGAATTCGTCCCATCATTTCAAAATGCCTGTTTTTCCAACATACAGTCACAATTGAAGAAAACTTGTCACTATAATAGTGGTCACCTCACGTAGGTGCCTGAGTATGCAGTATAACTCCTCGTTCACATTCCTCATAGGCCAAGGGCCTATGAGGAATGTGAACGAGACCTAGTTTCTTGGCCTAGTTTCTTGGCCTAGTTAGGCCAAGAAACACTGATCAAGGGCCATTGCTTCCCCTCCCCACTCGTTTCCACCCTCCATCTCGGACGACAGATGAGATAGGATCTCGTCTGAGACGCAATATTGCGATGAGGGTAGTCTCGTAGGGTAGGTTGGGAAAATATGGGCTCGTGGGCACCTTTTCATATTTTCTCGCACCACCCCTGTTTCGGTAGGGTTTTAGTTGGCAATTTTGCTCCTCGAATGATGCTTACTCAGTGAACTCTGCATGAGGAACGTTTTCGTCATCAAATATGTGCTCATGCTATCAGCATAAGAACGGATGAGACCTCTCATTTATTTTAATATTTGACACAGATGTTACATGTATGACTTAGTGAAACGTGGGATCTGCATGACCATTTGTCTATCCGCTCTATCACTCGAAAACGCATGAGGATGTTCGTACGTATTATTATGATCGACATGGCCTTGGCGTTCGTACGTTCATGGTAACCAGAAAAGGTGACTGTGTCATTCGGGGTAATGTGGATGCCACCTATCAAGGTAACATGGACATTCGGATTTCTGTTGTTCATTCCTATTGCAAACAAGTTTCAGAAGCACTGCAACATACGGAAACTAGGGTAAGAGCCTATAGGAAAGCATGCAAGGCTTGCTCCCCAGGGATTCATGAGGATTGTGTGGGACCTTGAGGTGTTATTTGGCCAGGATTGTGAACCATTTTGGAGAATATTTTTCCCTTCAATAGTGAAGAATCAGATGCAGTTTTAATTGTATTGTTTCATAAAAGTGTCAGTTGCTCAAGTTCAATGCAGTTTCGCATGTTTTATTTGTTTTGTTCATGTTAACGGCAGGTTTAAGTTACTAACATCTGATTTGTATAACATCTTACATTTTAAGAATGAAGCAAGAATTGACTTGATGTTCCAAATATAGCTTGCAGGTTGAAACAAAATCTACGATCCTATTTTTTTCCCTATCATTACAAAAATTAATATTAAAATATTATTTTTTATAAATATTGATGGACAATGCACGTTTTCTAGATACGTCATAACTCGAGACTTTTGAAATGTGAAATATTGCATAATGCTAAATTATTTGAAATTTTTTAAAAATATTCAATCTACATGACATAATTCACTTTTTAATGGAAATCCGAACAATTACGTTATTCGTAAATAAGAGCAGCCAGCGGTGACAGGCAGCAAACAACGCATATATGTCACTCTACAAATATTATAAAGATGAGTTTAGAATGAGGTGGAATAACGGAAAGAAGGGGTGAGAAGAATCGAGTCACGTTCAGACCAAGGCCAAGGCCTTGCTCGCTCCCTACGCTCTCCATGGGAGCCCCATTGAAGGGGCCTCATCTCTCCTCTCCCTCCTCATTCGTGACGTGTATGCCTTGGCGTCCTTCAGACATCTTTGGATGGCTTTCCTCCATCCCCAAACACGTTTCTCCCATTCCCTTAGCCAAATCGTCCCCCTCTCTCCCTCCCATCTGTGAGTTCCGTACTATTATGGCCGGTGTAGAGGAGAAACAGACTCCGTTCTTTCACCTTTCCCGTGTTTGCGTCTTCCAGTAAGTCATTTCAGTTTCAAGCTTGGGATATTGAGAGTAGCATCACTTAGGTATGTGTCTTGTTGAAGCCAGGAAGTGCTCAGTGCAATTGGTGAGCGGATGTCAATATAACAGGAATAATATTTCAATTTCAAAATGTATGAAATTGATATTCACAGATTCACCAATTTAATTACCCACCACCCGGGCCATAATCTCACCTAATGTGTGAAAGACCAGCACTTATAATTACAACCTCAAGAGTTTTGACTAGCCGAATTACTCAGTGCGGAGACTTAGTGCGGTCAGAAAGACATGATAAATGTAATGCTGTAAATCATCTCCCCAGTACCTGCTTAGTTTTCTCAGACCAACCTTCATCAATGGCAACACCTAAACGAACTGAATTCGTTTGGAGATCCCTGGGTTACCCACAAGGTAATCATCCTGAGTTACTAGGCCAGTACTCAGACACCTCACCTTGCGAAGAAGTTGGCCAGCTCCACGAAACTTAGACAAGAAACAAATCACAATATCAATCATGTCTGTTACTAACCTTAAGAAAGGAAAAGTAACCATTCACCTCAGAATAATTTTATGAAATGAATTACTTTTTTAATGAATTATATTCACCGAAATCAATTGAAAACCGGATAAGGAAAATGAATTATAATCTCATGAAACATAGGTTGGTTTAAGTTATCTGGACATGTGTTGAAGCATCTAGAAGAGTTCGCAAAGGTGTCAGAACAGGAAAAGTTTTTGTTGCATAGTTTCCATCGCGAGTCATGAATGCCAATGCCCTGGCCTTGATCCGAAAAGGTTATACAAACCGTTGAGACATCATTCTAGACCCACCGATACCGGTGTCTATTCTAATTTGGGAATATGCTTGATTTGCAATGCATCATTCAACGGCTGCCAGGACCTTGAAAGTGAAACCAAATTTCATTCAGACTTGCTGGCACTGGTAATGGAACTCTGAATAAATCATTAATTAAACTGGCAGAGACCTCATTAACTTATTCTTGTCAATTTTTCTACAGAGGACAACAACATGCTTGGAAGCGAAGCGGCAATTTGGTTGAGACAGACGCCAAGCAGTTGGGAAGAGCATCCCCCGACGTCTTCAATTCAGCTGCTGCTTCTATGGTCATATCATGCATATCATGTAAGCCAAGGGGCTCCCAAACTCAGGGTCGCGACCCAGGGTTTGGATGTTGAATTTTGAGTCGTGACCAAAAAAGTTCTGGAACCACTGCTGTAAGCAGTGTGTCCTATATCGAAGATGGATAAACGTAATTATTGCTATTCGGACAGATTTTTACTTTACTGTGTGCGAGCCAATTGACTTCAGCTAAAATTGGTGTTTTTGCAAAAACAGCCCTATATTTTCTATTTCTGCTTCTGAATATGACTGCCATTTTATTTTTGTTACGTCTAGTAAATGAAGGGAAACAGCAATGCTTCCAGCTCTCACCATTTTATTTTCATTTTTTAATTCACTATCCACGTATTTACTAGGATGACGCCTTCCTCTCTCAATAACTTGTCATGTCTAGTACCTTCACTACAATATTGTCCGAATAAAAGTGGGGAAATACGACAAGTTAATAGGTCGGATGAGCAGAGAACTTCCCTGTGTATGTTGTGCTCATCATATATTTCATCCCCTAATACATCAGCCGTTCATTAATAGCGCATATGGAAGCTAATACTGTATACAGGTATAGTATATTTGTAATGTGACCTTTGGCTTCGTGAAATAACTTGCACATGAAAAAATGTAATTTAGAATTATTAGACTTAAATTAAACCAGTAATTGATCATCCACATAGCATTTCAGTGTGTGGTCGTATGTTGTTGGTGCTGATTAAAAGAAACAGAAATATGTGCCAATGCCTACATATTTTTGCTTACCGCACCAGGCCTGTACATCTACCCTTATAGCCTCGCCATTTAAGAAAGGGCGATAATTGGTGCATTTCTCAATTTGCGACTTGCTTTTTGAGTGAAGCTGAAAATGCAGACCTCTGAAAAAAACATTCATTCGTGAAAAAATACATTTTATGATGAAATAACTAATATAATTAGCATGACCGAGGTATATATTGTTGTAGTTATTCCGGACTGTGCTTGTGAGACACAAGAAGACAACGCGCGATAGAAGTTAGCTTAGAGGCCTATGATATGTTTTGTGTACATAAGGCCATTGGGGTGGCAGGGACCATTAATTAATGGTTTAATGGTCCCTGCCGCATGGGCGATTAATTAATGGTTTAATGTAGGGGTCGGGAACCTTTTTGACCATTTGAACCATATTAAGATGAAGCTAAGTGCTTGTCAGCGAAAGATTCTCAGAATAACAATTTTTTCATGAAGTTGACAACAAACATGAATTAATTGATAAATGAGAAAAAATGAGGAACAACCATGATTTTCAACCATTACTCCATGAGCCAAACTTTTCGACTCATGAGCCATAGGTTCCCGACCCTGGTTTCATGGGACCATTAAACTCTTAATTCCGACCAAAGTGGCGTAGTAATACGAACATTTCAAGTGCCAATGAATCGATCCGTAGTGCCTCATGTTTCCACCAGGGGACGAAGACCCGGACTACATAATATACGATGGGAATTTCTCCCCACCATGTCTTTTTTTTATGTGCACTGCCCCTCTCGATTGTAATTTGTGATGTTAGTTATCTCTTTGATCCAGGCACCCGTGCACGTAACATTCTGAGTCCACTTTGTTCCTCAGATAGGTCATACTTGGAAAAATAGTAACTTGACTTCATAGTATGAAGAGGGTTGAAAAGCTGAACATTATATGACAAATATTCCAATGCAATTGGAAAAAGTGTACTTGAAAAAATAAATGCTTTCGATTTTATGATGCAGATGCTGAGAATTCAACGCAGTAGCTTCATCGAGACGTCATGGCTTCTCACAGTCAGGAAATATCAGACGTCCTGGCCGAGTACAAAGATACTTTTCAACAATTTGTCGAACTAGAGGAGATTCTCTTATGCTTGAAGAAGAAAAGGATAATCCAGGATGATGAATTCCATGAGCTTCATGAGGAGACCAAGGAGAAGAGGAAAAAGCAGGCTTTGTTCCTTCTCAAAGTGATACCCATGAGAGGAGATAACGCCTTTCCAGCATTATTGGAGTGCCTCCGTGAGAGATACCAAGAGTTTACGGAAAAATTATCAACATCTCTAGAAGATAAAATTTTGGCGAAGAAACGTTGCAAGTGTAAGAAAAACCTAATTTTTCCTTCAATCGCTTATTTATTTTCGTTTCTGAAAGGTCAGAAGCCATGAAACAGGAATATGGAAGTTATTTCCCAACTTATTTGGTTCTGCTGCTGGTGTATGTCAAGCCTGTCGTCAGGCCATGAGTAAAACCTGAAATAAGAACGAAAATCTGATTGGGTAATGCCCAGAAAGCCTCTTCAAGACGTGTGCTTTAGAAAAATCATCAGAAATAGTTTAAAATCGACGTAAAATATAATTATTAAAAAATATATGGAAATGTGTAACTTTTGCAAAGGTATTACGAACTGGTATTTCTTCTAAATCATGCTGGTTTCTCTTTTTTTGCCTATCCCTCCCATGAAGGCCCGCCATCGTTCACAAGATAGGCGAGTTCCGCGTTGGCATTTTCATGAGAGATGGTCGAAGTAATTTGAGAAATTACTTCCTTTTTGGTAAGGTAACATTTGAGGTACATTATATATATATATTACATGGTAGCTTCAGAAAGCTCTGTAAAATGTTCTGACTCATTTCCATTAGCTACTGATGCCAATTTTCTTGGAAGAGATTCTATGGGTCTTGGAAGAGCATTATATTCATGATTTGCTTTTTCTCCTATTTTTTTGCGAAATGTTTTTGCGTTTACCCTTTGACTTTCTTGGCAAATAAAATCAGGGAGTCTGACATTAAATGCCATCAGATTGTATGTTGAATCCAGGAAAAGGTGACAAATAAATACAAGTCAGGATTCGTTGTCTTCATCTCTAATGGTGAAGGGAGGTGATTTTTGACAGGAACCGCTCAACTGTTAATGCTGATCCTCTGGCGAAGATCTTGTTTATATGATAGTAAAGCATTTGCAGTAATTGATTATTTGTGATCATGCTACTCACAGATGAAGAAGATAACCGAAGCTGCCCCTCAGAGATTCCATCGCCTTTGGGTCAATGTCCATCAACGTCAGCAAATTCTCAAGCGTTGGTAAGGGAAAACTTTATTCATATTCACAGATCTGCCGATGCTGCTCCATGCTAATAGAACCATTCCACTCGGCGAAATACCTCACATTTCGAAAAAAATCAGTTATAGTAGGTTATCGAGGATGTATGTTCTTATGGCAAGATTTCATAATTCGCGGAAATGATAAGTTTTGATATCATGACAATTCGTACCACACACAATGTGTAACACGTAAATAAACGTTATCCACTCTTGCATGTGGAAAGAACTTAATCGGAAACGTAATATTGAGTTAACGGTTGCGCCTACTTCTATCACAGGGTGAAGCAGAGCGCGAAATTTTGGAAAGGGAACTAGGCGTTGTTGCGAAACCAACGAAGTGCGAACATAGCGATGGACTGGATCTCAAGGAATGCCTCCATGTGAGTGTTTCGGCAATATTTTGGAAATTATTGCGTTAAACGAAATTATTTGCATTTGTTCAATATGTGACATTAATATATAGAAGGCCACAGGTATAAAGTGCAGGTATCGAAGATCAACTGTGTCGCTTTGGAAGGTGAAGATTGTGTGACGAAAAATTGAAGAACCAAAACCCGATCACTCCTGAGGGCATATGTTTCTTGCAGTAACAGATTGGGGATCCCATTAATTATGAAATAAGAAAAATCAGTTCCCGAACTTTTCGAGCGCACCTTGTATCACTAGCGATTTCTTAAGGATACAAGTAGAATCTGCATCCAAATGGTCATTTAAAAAATCATACTGGCAACTTTTAGCAGGCGGTTGCTCAAACGTAGATGAAAGCATGGATGAACAGAAATGTGAGACACCTGGTATTGAACTTTTTTGTCTTTTCTTCAACCCCGATCAAAAATATTGCTGATAGCATGTACTGGAAATTCAATTTCCTGATTCAAAAGTCATCATTTGCATACTTTACAGGTGTACATGGGAGCTGACATCGAAGTACCCCTGAACGATGCACTTGCGACCTACATTACGGAACAATATCCTGATGTTGGAGAAGTTCATTATTCACTTCCACCAGCAAGTCTCTTAACGGAAAATGATTTTTTCGGTCTCCTGAAGAGAGCGACAGGATGTACCCAACTCCGGAAATTCTCGGATCAGGAAGCCCTTGATGCGGTTTTTCATGTAATCGAGGGTGTTTGTCAAAGACATCCATCTTTAACCATCGCAGGATACAAGTTATGCAGAACTCTCCGTGATGTCATATCACTTGGAACAATATGTGACATTTCTGGACTCGAGAGAAGAAATAACACGATCTGCATGATTTATCCCAGTGGGGAAACAGTTTTCAACGTGTTCTTCCAAGTGAAGGCAACTACTTTAGAGGAAGGGAAAGAAGTCATTAAGCACAAGATCAAGGAGGCAATAACTCAAGGCGAACGTGATATAAGTGTATTTAAAACGATTTGTGGGCCCATCCTTGGAACTGAGGCAGTCGTCGTTGCGTTTCCATCCTTCCCCTTCATCGGGGAAAGCGATTTACGCAAGATTCTTTGTCATTCGTGTTCATCGAAAATAGTGACAACTAACGACATAAACGATCCAGGAAGTCTCAAGCGGTTCCTAAAAAACAACGGCGTGGCTGACCTGGTCGTAAGTGCCGAATGCAGTCCCAAAGGGAAAGAATTGTTTCACGATATATTTTCCCTCCAAATATGTGCGACTTCCTCAATCGATGTGCCCCGGACTCATCACCCGGATTACAAACCCCGCATAGAGAAGGAGAAAGTCTTGTGTATCTTGACTCGGGATCAGAAAATCCTGGTGGATGACAGATCAAAATTCGTATTCATGGCTGGAGGATCCGGCACTGGAAAAACTCTTGTCTTGAAGGCAAGAGCTGAGCGACTCTCTATTGAAGATGATGCAGAAGTCCTAGTTGTGAATTTTGCTGGGGGGCTGCTCACAAAAGATTTTAAACGACACTTTAAAGGTCAGTATCGTTTCGCATCATTCAGTAGAGAATATATTATGTGGAAATTATATACCCAACGTGAATTATTTGCATGATAAGTCATGGTGTAAATTCAACGTTTGGAGACTACACAAGAAGAAAACCGACTACGTTGCAGTAAAAAAAAGGAAGCAACCAGCTTATTACCGAAATCAAGCTTCGTTCAAAGGGCACTCAAACGGAATTCGTGCGGAGCAGAATATTGTATGACTAGCCGGTACCCGTGAAACATTCACGTTTTCGTAATTAAATTTAATGGATTTCTGTTTTTAAAAAATTTACATAAAACACAGCTGGAATTTTCAACGGCCATATTTCAAATCAATAATATTGCGTGCGCCCCGCCCCCCCCCCCCCCCCCCCCCCCCCCCCCCGCCCCCTCCCTTTAACCAATCCCAGAATCACCCCATATACCAAAATACAGGTTTGGTTCTATAACATTCAAATGGGAGAATTTGTACGAATTCGAAACTTTCGTGTATTAGATGGAGGGAAGATACTTCCTATCCTCTTAGATATCAAATTTCCCTTTTAGTTCCCGAGTTTAATCCCTACTAGACTGACGGATCGGGCCGACAGCTCCGTTCGAAAGCGAGTTTCCCATTTGGTGCTAGCGAATACGCTATCAGAAGGATTTTTTGTATAAAAAAAGGGCCCCTCGTTCCACCAGCGCTCGACGCGATCGCATCATTAAATGACGTCATCATCGGGCAAGCAATTCCCTGCGGAACGCAGTGCACTATGACAATACGATAGGCCTACACGAACGTGACGACTTGGGAAAACTGGATGAGCCAACAGCGCCGCTTAGATAGAGGACCAACCCAGAGACCCCTTGTTCTAAACTCAGAGGCCTTAGTGGGCTGTGGATTGACGTGATCGGCTCGACACGACCCAAAGGGGGGGGGGGGGTCTGTAAAGTTCGGTCCGGCGATGGGAGTTTTGGGTCCGGTAGGACCACGATTCGAATCAGACCGATCGGGTCGGTTTCGGAAAAGTTTGCCCGAGCAAGCCTCAGGCGGACAGACAGGAAGAGACAACCTGTGAAATTTTACCGTCTGATTGTGGTTATTGGAATTCAGTTGAACGGCATTCAAATTAGGCATTTCGCAGGAATTTTGTGAACCGTCAAATTTGGGGTTATTAATAAATAGATGGAGCATGAGATTCTTCCGTCATCAGAGGCCACCAATAGACTCTGAATACAAAAAGAACCCCCAACCCCTGTGCCTATAAATAAGTTATCTAGCGAGATCCCCCCGACGGAGTGAGACTCGTCTCACTCGAATGCAGGGGATGATTTCGAGATCCGCAGGGAATGGGGGTGAACTCTATCAGGCAGACCCTACCGCCGGTTGGCAATCAAGTTTCATGTTGGGTGCAGGCGAACACGCTAGAATACACTCAAAGAAGTCTTTTTCTCGAGCCGTTTACAGCTGCTGGCTAGAAGGACGCCTCGTTCCGTCAGCGCTCGATGCAATCTCGTGATTAAATAACGTCACTCTCGGGCAAGGGACTACCAGTGAAACGTAGTGAACTATGAGAGCACGAACAGGCCAGCACCAATGTGACGTCATGGGACGTCAGGTGGAAGCCTTCACAGAGCTAGTAGAGCCGCTTAGAAAAAAGATGGACCCAGAGTTCCGAAGTTTAGAGGCCTAAACGGGCTGCGGGCCGGCCCGATCGGCCCGACCAAAGCCGCGGGTAGGATCCACTAAAGTCTCGGTTTGCCGATCGAATTTCGGGTCGAGTAGTCGGGTAGGACCACGACTCGAATCGGGCCGATCGGGTCGGATCCGGAAGAGTCTATCCGTGCAGACCTCCGGCGGACAGACAGGAGTACGTTGGCTGTTGCTATATAAATATTGCGTCACGTATTGAAATCCTCAGCTTTTCTTCCCAACACTGAATAACGAATGTGAGAAATTATGAATGATACCTACGACATTTTCCTCATCTGCGGATGAGGTAAATGCGAGCAGGACCTTGTTCGAATGCTCTCAGGAATGTTTTCTTGTCCCCCCCCCCCCCCAAGGGAATCGCTTGTTATTTCTACTATTGAAACAAGGGTCTTGACATCCCTCGTCGATGTCGAACGTTCGCTCTGATCCTTCCCGTTTCTAAGATAGAATAACGAACCAAGTGATAAATATATTCGACAGGACTGAGCCACTTAGTTGATAATCCACTGTAATTTTGCTTTCTTCTTGTCCTTGAAAACTTGAAAGAGACCTTTCAAATATTCATGGAATGGTTTTCACAGCATCTCCGCTTTACATACTACAGTACATGCATTCACTATCTAATAAGTAAATGAATCCTGTCCATAGCACGAGTGTTATTACAAATTTGCACGACTTGCACTTATTCACTATCTTTCTGCCGTAACCATACAATTGTAAAAATCTACAACGTTGGATTTTTATCGAAGTCCTTGGTGCCAACGGCGCCAAAGGAGCGAAATGCCTAGAGAAGATCCTCCTTGTTTACTTTCAATTGACCGTAGCTTATTTAAACCCCATTCGTTATAGAGTCCTCATGCTTCCTTTTTCGTTTTCTTCGTCCACCTAACTCGTCGAGACTAAAGTCTCGCAACCTCATACTTAAACCTCGTCCACTAATGTAATACGAAATTTCAAAGAGGACCATATCACTTCTACACAAGAGGAACAAAAATTAGTGAGCCCAAGCTGGCAATAAAGTTCTCGTTGAAGCTTAAAGCATTGTGAAATCAATGGAATGCTCTTGCTCAGCGAATTCCAATCCCTAATCTTTCGTTGCCCCTAATATTTCCAAGTGTTCAATTTCTTAACTCTATCATTTCCATTAGGTGAATCCTATGTTATTATAATCAATTTCATAATTAATAAGTTGATCTTGCAATTGCATGCCCCTTAGATTAAAGTATATGGCCAGGTAAATATTAAGGAATCAAACCATGGAGTAATGTCCTTTTCACCATTAAACATAGCGAAAATTATGATTATGACAGATTATGATAAAAGAGATGGTCCGTCACATTTTATTATTAAGTGAGATTTTGAAGTGGACTGGATGAGAAAGCTTGAAATTTCTGTCCAAACAGGGGCAGATGGAATAGAAGTTCTCGATGGGAAAAAAGAGGACCTGCAGGAAGAACTTCAGAAGTTTGAGACTTTCTTAACAAGAAATGGAGAGGGGAAGCATGTCCTAATCGATGAAATTCACCTGACACTCGGATTCCAGGAAATCATTAAACCGTCACTCCTTTTCCAACACTGGAAATGGATTCGAAAAATGGAGAATCTTGTAAAGTCACTAACGGTTTGCTTCAGACCTAACGACCAATCCTACACAAGGGATTTCCCCCTCCGAAATGTACAACCTGGAGGTTTCCCGATCAAAGTTCTCCGCCAAGTGAAGAGGAACGGCAGAAACATAACCAAGCTCTTCCTTGCCATTGGCGACTTCTCCAGGAGAGTCTTCGTATCGTCTGAACGTTCCTTCTTGATGGATGGGAGGGACTCGGGTGGAAATTTTCTTCCCCACTTATTGGCGATTCCTTCGTGCCAAGCCCTTCACCGCAAATGCAGGCATGAGGCAATCTGTGAGGCCATGAGGGCCTTGTACGCTATTCACGCCATACACGTTGAAAGGCTAAACTCATCGAAGAAGACACCTATATTCATCGTGGTGGATAGCATTAAGAGATTTAATGTCTTCATGAACATAATTGAATCCTCCTTTTCCTCTATTCCATGGCTTTTCCTAGACTCGAACAGAAATTTCCGGGGGAAGTCTGTCTCAGAGGATTCGTTTCCCCTCGTCGTTGTCACCCAATACGAAATGCTCGGATATCATCCAGAGAATCTAATAGTGATTGTGGATTTCCCAAAGTCACAATGGATAAACTACAACCGGTTGGTTGCAGCCACTGGTGAAAACAAGATTCTTGTAATTGAGGAAGAAGAGCTGGACATGGGAAAATTCTCGCGTGTCAAGAGCGAAATTTCGGGATGGAAGATCGACAGAGTGAAGAT